CTCATTTTCCTCTTGCTGCAGGAACTCAGAGAGGGAAAAGCAGATGGGCTCCCTTGCTCTAAAGGTGAACAACCAGCAGCACCCTCAAGAGCAACCTCAGAGACAACCCAAAGCAAGCTTTAAAAGCTGAGGCTGTGGAACACTTGGAGAACCAAGAAACTACAAGGGATAGAGCTGCCAAACTCTTTAAGCTCTCAGCTGAGCACATGCCAACTGAGATTTCTGGAAAGCTTATAAAAGTTAAAGGCACTGTCCTGGCACCAGAACAATGGCTATCTTCTTGTTCTATTTCTAGCTGTGAAGTGCAGACAGAGTAAAATGTAATGAAAAAGTTAAAAAATGATCACAAACTTTTTTTTTTCCTTTTTCTTTTTTTTTTTTTTTAACCTAGACTCAGTTTAAGAAATATTTGGACAGAATTTTCTTAAACCTTTTTAAAGCAAGTTACATGGAAAATTTCAGACCAAACTATTATTCTTTGGCAAAATTACATGTAGCCAAAAACAAGACCTTAAAATGGGAAACAATGGGCAATCTGAATTCAGGAAAGTACTTCCAAAACAATCTCAATATAATAACTGAAATTGCATTAGTGGCGCAGGTGGTTAAAGGTCAAGAGAAACAAAGGTTCTAAATTAAGCATTTATTTATGTTTATGTTCTTTGAATCATTTGCTATGAAGAGTAGTATTTTAAAACTACTCCAAAATTGCCAGGATTCACAAAAAGATTTCTAACCCTAGTATTCCTTTCTATAATATGCAGATAGTGGAGCAAAGACATAGATAAAGATGATGGACTTAAATGACAACCTCTCCTTCTCTTACACTGGAAGCCTGGAGGTAGAGGTCACTTGACAGCACTTCTACAGTATGTGACTTTAGCCTCTGGCTGTATTTATCAACAGGCGAACCCCTCACAAGTTTGATGACACAGAAATATGTTCTCTGTATCCAAAGCTGTGCCTTGCCGGGCAGTACACTGCCTTTCTCCTTTCTGTAAGACAATCAACGAATATGGGAATTACTGCAAAGATCTGATAGGTTTTCAGAAATGCAAACTGTCTTCCTCTGACACTCCTGACCCCCTGCAATGTAAGATTGATTTGCCTTTCATCTCAGTGATCACACTTGGTTGTACTGCCTTTTAGAAGAACGAGGTGCATTGTCACTTTTCTGAATGCATCATTGGTATCGGAATTCACTGAAATTCTTTACCTGTTCCAAACGCTACCCTGTTCTAGCCTTGGTTTCACATAAACCAAGGCCAAATTAAGTATATAGGTCATGCGCAGGGAACCATGGAAAAAAACAGACTCTCTCCAAAGCTCTTGCATTGAGTATAACACACAGTAGAAACATAGCAGATTTCAGATCAGATGCTACCTTTTACTGGTGCAACTGCAGTTTATATACCACAGGTTGGAAAACATGCATTGGCTTACAGATAGGAGAGCATGCAGTTCACTCGGGGATGTATAATGTATTCTTCCAACAGCAACATAAGATTTTTTAATTTGGCTTCTCCAGAGGTACATGGCACAATGCCCACTGGAACAAATGTGGGCATACTGTCTCTGCTGACTTTGATTCACCCAAGTGCCAAATTCAAAACTTTCATCAATGAAAAAGGGTATTTCTGACACCAACAGTAGATGGTACTATGCAATGCAAATAGCTTGGTTTTAGTAAGAACATTGCTGCCTCTGCTAAGTCAATTATACTTTATATCCATAATTGCTGGTTTGCAATTTGTAAAATTCAATATTATGTAATGGCTAAGAAGTGCAATACACAAGCAAGCATTTATACATAAACCCTTAACAGAATACTAAATACACTGGGAACCATCAGAGAAAACAATTAACTACCTGAATATCATAAGAAAGCCATAGAATTTGAAGATTAAGAGATGTCTTGATGTGACAGTTGTTGCATATCTACATTTCTGCATTACAGCCTTGAGGATTCCAAGCAAGCAGTGTGAAACTCATTTACACATGTGACTTGATACACAAATACTGTACAAAAAATACTAAAAAAAGGGTGTGTTCACATTATCTGAAATCAGGGAAGTAAGCAGACCACCATTTCAAACTAATTTGTTCTCAATTTGATTTCAGGAGGCGATCCAATTTCGAAAATCAGTGAAGTGGAAGTTTCAAATCAAGAGGCAGGTAAGATGTCCTCCACAGCTATTTGCCAATCCAACCATACGGCGCTTATCAAGGAAAGGAAGTGGCAGGCTGCAGTGGAAATCTGTCTGGCTCATTTTCCATTGCTTTCATGTATCTTTGCGTGTGAATTGAAGCAACTTCTTGGCTCTTCTAATTCATGTCCAGGCCAGACAAGTGCTCTGCTCACCTCCTGATGTCAACCAGGAGCAGAACTTGGCTACTGGGGAAAACCAACCTCATAGGCTCAAAACCCTTCCACTGTGTAATTTGTTGTGTTTTCCAGCACAAAGCGGGATGAAACTATGCATTATAACAGACATACTCAAGAAGGGTTCAGGACTAAGTGCTCCAGTTTTTAAGCAGCTTGCTGTACAAAGAGCATAACTAACCTCGCAAAACTTCTTCCCAACTAGTATTTTTTTTATATCTCATATAAACACTAATCCTGTCAGTTCAGGTTCTAATATTGAATCTAACAAAGACTGAATGTAAACTAGTTCCAGTAAGCCCTTACGCTAGTGACACAAGTTCATATATCTTTTGCATGCCACACATTTTAAAAGCATGGGAGAAAACACGTAAGATGACTTCATAATGTCTTTTTGCATACCTTTATTCCTAGAACTTATTAGGATCACCTGAACTGGCAGGCATCACAGGTGAAAAATACAACCTGAATTTACAAATCAGATAAATAAATAAGAATTGCCGTTCAGAAACTTCTTAAAGTAATCTGAACAGATTTCATACAAACAAATCCCAGACATTAAAATTGGACGTATTATGATATCATCTCCTTGAAGGCCTTACTTCATATTCTACAACTTCACAAGACCAATGGCTTCTCCAGCTTAGGATTGGACTAATTTCTGGGAAAAATAAAACCAGCATGGGAACCTGGAAATATTTCTCTCTCTACGTTCCTTTTTTTTTTTCCTCCTTTTTCTTTTTTCTTTCATGGCTGCATTCAGAATATTGGTTGTAAATACACATAGGAGAGAAAAGTTACGGAATGGAACACAAATTAATAAACCTACATTTATTATATTATAATTCCTTCGGATCTATTCAAATATATGGGCTAAGATCTAGAAATAAATAAGAACCCTCCATATACTGAAACCGAACAGAATCAGAAAGGAGGCAAAATTAATACATTTTCACCCTGAATCATGTGTTAGTGCCATGCAATAAAGTACTACAAATACAAAAAAGTGACCAGCACCTTTTGTCACTGGTACATTTTGATACATCATCACATATGAAACTGTAAAGCAGTTTTGTCTTTGTTCCTATCATAGCAACTACTTGGAAAAAAACCATACTAGATCATAGGCACTAACATGGATTTCCCATTGGTATGGTCACCAAAGTTCAGAGAGAAAAAAGGCTACCTGAAGTGTAAGCGCCTCGATGTTAGAATCAGCAACAGCTTGGTTGTATGTACTGTGTGCTGTAACTCTTTTGAGACTTTCAATTCCAACAAACATTTGTTAGAAAATGCACACAAAGTATCATATAGAATAAAAACAATAAACTACAAGCAGCCTCTATTCATTAAGAAACAGTTAGAAAAACTTCCAGCAGAATGAAATTTACACACATACAATTTTACCTGCATAGGTAGATTATTTAGAATGAATTTAAGGATTTTAAAACTGAGATTAAGAAGAGATTAAATAGATTTTTTTTCAAGCATTATATTAACTTTTCAAAATACCTTTGTTTCTAAAGACTACATTAAGAAAATCTAATTATAATAATAAGCGTTGCTCTATTTAAGATTATGTCAACTCTTCAATTACTAACTTATTCTCATGACTGTATCTCAACAGCAAAAATGTATTTGTGTTGAATATTGGCACATGGATTCTTCAAAAAAGCAACATTAAAGATTCTGCTGCTATGAATTACACACAATTTGAAATGACTATTGTGTGCAGATTTTTTTATTTCCTTCAAAGGAACAGCCTGCCCCCAGGAGAAACTGGTTTTCTTCAGAATTTAATAGAATCAATCTCCTAGCACTTAGAAACATTTGATTTCAAGCAGGATTTGGGGTGGAGCATTCCACCTTAGACCTGCAAATGTTATCCAACACAGCGTATAGTAATGCAAAAGGTTTTGAAAAACAGATATACCTGATAAACATCCAGTATTTCTGCTGCTCCATGAAGCACATTAAAGATATATATAGACAAAAAGAACAAAATCCTTCAGTTGAGAAAACGCTTGTAAGAGGGAAACTTTTGTGAGCTAAATGTAAAAGGACTATGGAGCTACACTAGCCATGGTTCTTAGAGCTGAGGAATTTAACCCATTAGAAAAAAAGAGACTTGTGTCAGCATGCAGAAGTCGGGAATTTTTATTTTTCATGCTATATTAATTTCTGTTCATGGTAGGCTAACACCATCCCCAAACTTCTGTCGGCATTTAAGAACAGACACTCCTAATGGGACCCTGATGAATGCAAGAGGAGACCTACAGTAGCCTGCAGAGTACAGCAGATATGGGCAGCACCAGGAGGGTACTGTAAGACATTGTGAGGATGCCATATATAATTTAGTAGAAACTACCTGTGCTCAACCCTGTTTCCAGTTATTTCAATGCTGATTACTCTGTCGTCATTTCCATGTTGTCAGCTTCCCTGCATGTGAAATAAGCATGCAGATCTCTCCTGCACTTGGAAGAGTATTGTGAATTACTACAACAGTTTCCAAAGCACTTTGAGATCTCTGGATAAACGTGATGGACGGGTAAGAAAGATCTTTCTGTATGCTTAACTTCGTTTTTTTTTTTTTTTCAGAGTATAACTCAGATCTTACTTTGCTTCCAGTGCCAGTGCAATGATGCCTGCAGCCATAGGTGCAGAGGCTGAGGTTCCAGTATGGCTGTCTGTGCAACGCTGCCTCAGGTCTGTGGTGATCTGGAAAAAATTGAATGTGTGAAATTTAGAACACAGCTTCAGAAATCAGAACAGGTTTCATTTGTTTGAATGAGTCGTGTGTATGTGAAGGGTATTTCCTTCTTTCATTGCAAGGAAAGGCAAAAGAAAAGGTGTCTGAATACATGACATTAGATGTTCTGAGCTTGAGAGCACTTGTGAACTTGTCCTCTGTATTGCACTAGAAATATACGTTAGCCTCTGTTTGTTTGTTTGTTTTTTTTCATGGCATGATCAACAAAAAGACTTGTAAATTAGAAAAATATGCAGACGGTTTTGAAACTGCACAGTTAGAACTCTGCCCTTCTTATTTGCATTTAGAGAGCACTTTCCATCCAAGAATCTCAAAGTGCTTTACAAACAGGAATGAACTAAATCTTACAGCGCTCCCTATATACAGACGGGTTAAGCCCATTTCAGAGGCTATAAAAGAGGTACAGAGGGTTAGTTAGGCTGTCTGAACTCTTAGTGACAGAATAGAACATGGTTTGGCTCATGCTAGGTGCTATCTTTAATCCTCCCTTCATGCCTTATGCAATAATTCGCACGAAATTAAGCAGCAATTCATTGGAAAATCCTGATGTAACCAGAAATCTGGCCCAGATGTCACCAGCCAATTATTTGCAGCTTTAAATTGTTACGTATTGCATAATTATATGATGCTACATATTTTAATATGTAATCTAAGTGGATATATAAACTGTAACGTGCATTACCAACTAGAGGCAGTCTTCTACTTAGTGTTGGGATGTTCCTATCTCATGAAGAATTTCAGGCACATTCTTTCTGTACAACAGTAAATCACACAGAAAAATGTGTTTACTCTAAATTCTGCTTCTTTCAGGCAATGTTAATCTAAAGTGATTCTAATCTATGCTCTTTTTCCCAAAGAAGCGTTTTCTAGAGAAAGCAAGGCAGTAGAGGCAAGAAGTCACTACCATGTAACAGAATTTCTTGCAAAACCCAGGCAGCTTTGAGAACGGATAACAGTCCACCACACAGAACCCTCTGTGAAGGTGGCAGAGCGAATGACGTGTGATGTCAAACCTCATACTCAGCATTTCAGCTGATCCCAGAGATTCAGTCACAACAAGGCATAAAATACCTGAATGAACATACTTTCCCTAATTCACTAGTATCACACTTCGTTTGCAACACAGACATGGACATAGACTGGAGGAGGAGAGGATCAGAGGATTGAAAAATGACAAAAAAGCACAGAGGAAGTAAAAATTTCTATCTAGCTTTGAAACCAGAAGATACACAAAGTAAGATCTCAAAAAACAGTCACGTCCCACCTGAGCAGAATATAAGCAATTTCATGTAGGAGGTACAAGTTTCATGTGTTTACATTAACCACATTCAGTAGTATATGTATTACACGATTTGTACAGGGCTACTGGAAGTTCACACAAGATGTAAGCATAGCAGGCTAACACAAAAGACTTCTGAGACAGAAGGTGCTAACAGCACCTAGTAAATGACTGTTGGAAGCAAGTACTGAGGAAGTGAAACCAAGTGGAAGCTTTCAGAAATTGAAAAAGATTAATTAAAGCATTTATAATGTCATTTCCTTAAATTAGTGAACTTACCAAAGGCCAGATTTCTTGAATAATGAAGTCTAGAATCTTTTCTTCCCTATTATTTATGCACACCTTCTTAAATTATTTCTTTTATCTGTTACCTGCTGTAAGTTGAACCCCATGAATACAATGCTCATACAATTTATCTCTTGCCTTCTCTCCTATTGATAGTGTGTTAGTTTACACAAGGAAAACTACAGTGTTGTAAAAACCTTTATGCATGAAAATTCTGTAAATGCCCTGACAATATTAAAAGATGAAGCTCCAGCAGGAACAGCCCTCCCATTACATGTGCAAATGCAAGTAGTGATTTTGTAGGTGGGATTAATATGCCCAAGGACTACAGGATGACATATGCCCAAATGGAGATATGTAAGATTCAGGTATCCCATTTGGAAAAACACTGGTCAGTGCTGTGATGAGGAATGGGACCAGGAAAAGGAGAAGGCAGAAAAAGGGACTAATACATGCTTGTCTCTTTCTTATCCTGGTGCCTAGTCCTCTGCAAAAAAGTGCTGCAACAGGTGCTTTCCTCAGAGGACCAAAGGATAGCAAAGCCTACAGGAGTTCAGGGAAGGAGAAATGCCTCATGGCACCTCTTCCTTAAGAGACAGCCTCTCTCAATACCCTGCATCGTGCTGTGTTTCTCTTCCTCTGGAAGAACATGCTTCCAGAGAGTGCTGTCCTGTAGCTACAGAGACCAAGCACAGTAAATCATGACACCTCTTTGAAAACACTGTCTCTCTAGATTCTAACCACAATTCTAAGCAGACATTGTGGCATCAGTTTGAACTACAGACCTTTATGTCTCTCTCCCTCAGCAAACATTTCAGCAGAAAATACTCTAGGTGGAAATCCCATCTGAGCCATTTCAAAGGAAAGTTACTGTCAGAAGCTGAGATGTTTAGATGTAAATTGCAACCAAGATCTGAGGCATGTTTTTCAGCACTGTGGTTTTACTTTCAAAGAACTGTTGCATCTACCTTGAGAAAAGAGTCCAGGACCACCAACAGACAGGCAAGTTTTAAGAAGAATGGTGCCCTAAATTCCTGAACCACATCAGGGCAAAGTCATTAATCACTATAAAAGGACATGGTATTTGAGAGCACCATAAAGCTGTCATTAGTGCATGAAGGAGACATTTTTAATCTTTTGTTGAGTACAACGTTTGTATGCTTCAAATACCTCTGTAACAACTGCTGATCTATGAAAATGTTGACCCAACTGCCCAAGAGAAGTCCATGAAATATTTCTAGGGCTGTGAGTTATATCCACTTCTGAATCAATGAGATTTGACTGGAGACAATGACAGTGTTTCTGGAATTGGCCTACTTTAACAAACATGAAATTAACAACCTAGGCCGCACACCCTGGTGAAAGGCAGACAAAAATAACACAAGTCACCACAATGCACTCTAATACCTGCCATATGCAGAATTCCAACAGCTTTCAGAAAATTCACACATTTATTAAAGAAAAAGCTCTAGACACAGTGTTACAGTTTTATAGAGGCAACTTTTTCCGAAGAATTAAGGAGATGCCATTTCTGTACAGTCATTATTAAGGCTGCATCATCAACATTTTCAGTATTTCACCTGTTGGGAGGTTAACAAATGTAAAAAATGGGATTTCCCTTATCAGAGAACGTGCTCACTCCTCCAAGCCTCTACATTTCTTGCTATTTTGTATTTCCTGACAAGAGCTTTTTGGACCGATTGAATAGTTTTTTTACCTTCTGCTACAGTTCTTCAAGATATGCTGATTTCTATGAACCTGTGTCCCTAGAAGCGACCAGGTTTAAGAAGAATCTGCTCTTCCTTCTGACATCCTTTGTGCACCTGTATCTACTCAAAATTGAAGGTACCATGTTGTATCTTTACACCCTGAAAGAGTTTCCAAACAAAAGCAGAGTTTTGTATTTAAAGACAAAATATATGTTCTGCTTAGAGCAAAAGGTAGTCAGCATGGCAGAAACACATCTTGGAAGCAAAAGAAGCAGCAGACGAATTGTCATTTTTTAGATAACAAAGAAACAGGTGGAGCAGTAAGTAGATTATTTTCAGAAGGGGTAAGTCATATAATAGGTTTATAAATTGTATCTATGAGTGACTTTTGTTACGTACAGTCCTTAAAGCTTTAAGAAAGAATCTAAGGAATTAAAAGGAAATGTAATGCATTTGTGCAGCATGTTTGGCAAATGAAAGGCCCACATAGATAATTATAGTAGGTGCTTCTTAACCTGTCCTAGCTGCATGGTCTGAAGTGGGGAAGCTATCCTGTGGGATTGTCCTGCAGTAGTCAATAGAAGGTAAGAGAATAATAGGAAAAAAAAAAAACCTTGACTGCTGTATATTATTAGCCAATATTTCTGCACTCACTTGGTCGTGAGAGCTAATCTCTATAAAGAAGTATATGTTATGGTCTTTACCTATTGTTGATTTGCCTTTGTCCTAGAGTGAGTTTTTATGCCTATACCCATGCTGGCACTTCACAGCTCTTAAAAACTCCCAGAAGTGATTTTATTTCTTTTCTTTAAGTGTCTATGTAAAAGCCACCCACCCAGATGCATTTGTGAAAAGTTTGTACAGTTTGAGCATGTTAATACGTCCAAAGGTTGCAAACTCAGTCCATAATCAGCTAACAGTTACTGCAATAAAATTTAGTATAGCATAAAGTCAAGCACACTTGGAGTACCTTCCCTGAGCAACAAGGAACTCATGCAAGATCCTAACATCAGTCTGTGTTTAACTGTAATTGCTAGCTCAAATTATTTCAGGCCAGACTTTGATTCCGTTTACTTTAGTTCAAAGTCAGTAAAAAAAAAAGCTCCATATGGAAAACAGAGTTGTGTAGATGAAATTACGTTCTGAAGCTATCAAGACTGAAAAAAAACTCCAGAATATAAAACCTTCTGAAATTATGTTACCTTCTATATTTCTAAGAAACAATTATAAAAACATGTACTAATAGAAATAGGAAAAGTCTTTTGTGTAGTTATGAAATTCTGGGTGGTTCTATTAGTCCATATTGAAACCAAAACATTTTTACAAGAAATTTCAGTCCACACAGTAAGTGCCTGACATTTCGTTACTTTTGTTCATCTTCCTTATTATACATTCTATACGTATTGGATAGGAAAACAGAAAAGGCAAAAAATTTAAACTGAAGAACTGCAAGGAAAAACACGAAGGAACTGTGGAACATGAGAACATGAAGTTGTAACCATTTACTGTCCCTTAACTGTGGACAAGTACTTCCGTGCTACAGCCCTGCCGACTCTCACATGATATTTGTGTTTGTTCTGAGTTACATGACAAAAAATAAAAATTAATTTAATTTTGACTGTAAATCCCACACCACATCAGTTCGTTGTTGAAGCAATATTTTTGTTTCCTATTTTGAATATAGGAGTCTCACTACAACAAAACAAATAACATATGCCTTTATCAAACACTGTTACCTTTTTCATATTATGGCATGAAGTTGAGCCCTTCCTTCATAGCTAATTTGTACCTTTTAATTGTATATTATAAATTTATATGCATAATAGAATTTGGATAATTTAAATTTAATAATAGCCTACTCTTCTTCTATTGTTATTTTTCCTGTTAAGCTTATTGCAAGCTCTAATCTTTTTAGGGGAAGATATGAAGACAATCTCTGACTCAAAAAGAGCAGCAGTCTAAACAAAGATGTGAGATATGACACAGTAGAAAGCATGAACAATGAAAACAAAGACACATCTTCTTTATACTGTATTCCTTTTAGCATTTTATAGCAGCTGAAAAACTGTCCTCAAAATTTTCAGTTCTGCCTTCAATTCAGTTGTTTCAAACAAGACTTCTTTCCAAGGTAAACGAGCTTTGACATGTCTTTAAAAGGACTGGATTTTGGTAGACAAGTGGAGAAGAAAATAGCAATACTATTTTTACTGCTCTCAAAATCAGGCTATGAGCAAGACAGTCACACAGGTGAGAGCAATGTCCCTGCTTCCATGTGTGTGCTTGTTGAAAGGATTGCTCAATACTCAGTTTGAAAAGCTGGCTTCACCGTATCTCCCTGGGCTGTAGCATAACAGAAGCATGTAGCTGTTATCCCTTAAGGGGACAACTGGTTTACACACAACACAAAGAGAATGCTATTGGCTGCAACTGCTGTACACTGCCCCGCTCAATCACTGAAGGTGTCTGGAGTGGAACAGCTTTATATTATATATTTTATGTGATCCTTGGGTCCCTTCCAACCCTGACAGATTCTGATCTGTTTTGGCAGAGGACTTTGGAGCCCTGGTGGCTCGGTGGTTGGACTTGATGATCTTGGATGTCCCTTCCAGCCTAAATGATTCTATGATTCTATATTTTATATTTTATATCATATATATAACCTAGCTTTATATGCCAAGTACCACCAGCTAAAAAACCATCAGGTAGGTTGTGTGTTTCAGAAGTCAACTGATAATGTAGTACAGGAAAAAAGAGTCTTGGAAGGAATATTTATGGCCTGATACTTAAGCATCTGAGATCACCAAATCTTATGGCACAGGCAGCAACAAAGTTGCTTTGCACAAGACTAGTCAAGGGTAAATTAAGTTCTGGTAAATGAGGACCAATGGACTTGGGGTTATTCTTACAGTTTCTAAGTATGTGTATGCTTTTACCATTCGCTGTGTAAAATGATGCAGTCTATACGAATAATCAAAAATTGGCATAATGAACTGGATTGCTCCCAGAATGGACGATCTGATTAGTGAAGCAATCAGTGTTTACAGGATTTAAGGATCCCAATTAACAGTTATTTTTATTTATCTCTGATAGTCTGTGTGAGATCTCAAACAGAGACTGTGCATTAAGGATATTTTAAAAAATGCACATCTTTAAATATTTTCAATAATGTTTATGTAAAATATCTTAATTATTTCTTTAACTATAGGATAATGTATGTTCACTCTACACACAACAATTAATCTCTCCTTTGTAAAGTTTACCTTTCAAAAATCATACAATAAAATAAAAACTGCAGGTATTAGCACAGTGCATAAATTCTAGAAGTAATGGATACTATACTGCAGTAAACAAAAAAAAATTACCTATTCTCACGTTTTGGAAGACAGTCTTTTATAACAATAAAGGTAATATCACCTGCAGGTGTTTTTGATGCTAGTTTAAGTCACAAGGACTGACAAGTCAGAAATAGGCAATACTCTTTTATTGAAATAGTAATTGTGTACCAGCAGAAAGTCCATGCTAATTGAAAAGAGAGAAAAACAACATCAAGAGAACTACGGCTGTTAAGAAATCAGATGAATGCACAAAGATTAAATCAGATAAGTAGAAAACAACAAATAGAGACTGAGAAACACACAAATATTTCATGAGATTTTAAAACAAAACAAAACAAAAATGAGCAGCAATATACTGGTGAATAAAACAAGCAATGACAGGTGCAAGAAGTAATAAATAAATATAAGTGAATAAAATATTAAGTGGATAGCAATGAATAAAAAAAGATGGAAGGTGCATGGAAGTGGTAAGGAAAGACAAAGGTCAAATGGTGAAGCCTACAAGAACAGAATGAAGTGAAAGGATGTTTTATTTACAAATATATCAGAAACAAAAGAATCCCAAAACAATATTGTTTTGGTTGTCCAGAAATAAGAGAATACTTAATATCAATGTATAGTAAATATCTATTTCACTGAATGTTCCTTTTTGGGAAAAAAAATCTAAATGAAGTTTTCAGCACATACAAAGATGATAAATCATCTTCCTATTTATAGCTATTTTAAATAGCAAGCCAAAGCATAAGATTTGGAAGCACCAAAGACTTTTACAAAAGTTGGAAAGTGAGTATTTTAGGCTATACTGTTGATTTTAGCAAGTCTTTGAACACTGGAGAAGTTCCAGAAGACTGAAAGAAAATCTGCACAGTATCAGTATTTTTAAAGGGTAAACAGTATTGTCCTACTAATTTCATCTGCTTGCCAGGTTTTCATTTAGTGTAGAACAGCTGATACAGGTTTTAAACAAATAATTAATAAATTAATTCACTAGTGTTATATGAGTGGATAAGCAGCTGGAAAAGAGGGCTTGCCAAAGTGCTGCAGTATTTTTTTTTTTTCTAGCCATCACTAGTATAGTCAGGGTCCTGGGGTCCTGCAAGACAAATAATGTGATACTGCACATTAAAGAAACCTCCAAGACAATTAGAATGCTTGTCATACTAGCAATAAACTTTGTGACACTACCAAATATGTAGAAATTGAAGGTAGAGGAGCTCAGAGAGCAAATGAGCAACTTTTTTTCTTATTACAATGGGTAATTAAAACCACTTGCCCTAAATTTAAGTGGAGTTTCTGTCACTGGAAACTTTGACAGCAAGATTGATTATATTTATAAAAATTATTGTCAAGTTGACAGAAACCACTGGATTTGAAGGACTCAGGGAAGTCCTACAGACTTGGCTAAGCAAGAGGGCAGGCTGGGGAACTGTGATTACTTCTGCTTACCTAATGTTGTATTAATCTCATTTAAACATGAAGAAGTTAGTTAAGGTCTTTTAAAGGACAATAGATGGAATTTAATCACAGAAGTGAGAACTGCTAGGAGATGGACTATTTTCTTTTCTGTATAATTATTTATCAGGGAGAACAAGAAAAATGCCAAGAAGATAGGTAAGGTTTCAGTGGAGAGAAGCAAGTCAAGAATAGAAAAATTATTGGAATGAAGAAGTGCCTCAGAACAAGTTTAAAACAAAAATTAGATCATCTGAAAATAAGCAAGAATCCAAGAAGGGATGGCCAGCATCCCGGAATCCTGAAAGACAAGGCAGACAGTATTAAAAAAACATAGCTGCAAGATTTTTAACTCCTCACTGACACCATGAGAAGTATCTGTTAAGGACCAGAAAGAAGGAAATGTTAGATGGGTGCTTAAAAAAACATCTGGGGAAAAAATAATGACCAAAAGGTCTAAATTTTCTGATCAGAAAGATGTTAAGATCTGTAAGTTATACAGAAGAATAAATCAGCAGGGAAGAGGACAACACTAGTAAGCCTGATTAATCCTAGTACAAGGGAAGGTTCAAAAGGAGTAGTACACTGAATATTGGAAAGTATACTGAATACACTCAATTTGAAAAAGTAGACATAGTGTACAAATACTTCAATAGATTATCAAACAGAATTAAACCAGTTTGGTGGTTTCCAGTCAAGATGAGAACATAACGGAAAATGGATGCTATTTAGGAATGAAATGAGGATTAACACAGGAAAGATGAGCACTAAGCTCAACCTGGCTTGCCCTATATCAGCTAGCTGGAATAGGCAGCAATATGAGTAATAACTATCCATCACTGAATGCAATAAAGGAATGATGCTGGATTGAAATAAAATAAAATAGGTACATAAGTAAACCGACAATATCATGTGTGTAAAATATGAAAACTCGGAAACTGGATTAAAAACAAAAGGTGCATATGTTCTCAGGCCTATGGATATATACTACAAGATATTGGTAATTGAAGAAATCTGTTTTTGTGGCAGTGACAATAGGATCTCTGAAAGCATCACTCAGAGTTGACAGCAGCTAGATGTCTGAAAAACCTGCTGTAAATTTGGTATACTGACACTGAGTTAGGCTGCGAAATGTAGACATACCCATGTTGGCTTCAAAGAGCAGCATGATGACTCCAACTGAGTAACACACTGTGGCTAAATTAACTTCTCTGCGTAAGATTTTTTTCTAAAGCAGTCCATCAATTAGTACAAATAAATTCTCTTTCTCTCCCCTCCCCCGCCTCCAGCAAAGTCACTATGCAAAACACAAACCCATATACACTGAATAAAAAAAGAATTAAAACCCTTACTATTTTCCTGTCGTAGGATTCCCCACTGCTGTACGTTGTCGCTAGTGTGGATGCACATTCTTCCAGATACCACGGCTTCTTCCCACTTTCAGCTGTGCTGCTTATGGAGATAGTGTAGATGCTATTGGTGTAGCCATCACAGGAGCAGTGGTCTCGACTTCTTCCACCATTTCCAGATGCCCAAACAAAGACTGAACCTAAACCTCTTCGTCCCTGATTGGAAACAGCACAAAAGATTTGATTAACAATTCTTTTCCCCCTCACCTGCTTAACAAGTAGGTATTTTTTCCCCAAAAAGACATCTGATGAAAGATAATAAAAGAAACTAGCTCAGTGAGAAGAATCTGAAACGAAAACAGGATTTATCAGACATCAGAAAAATTCATATAAGGAGTAATAAAAACACAGCTTTAGAAACAACTTTTATATAGTGTCTGTTTGTCACTCTGCGTCTATGCTATTCAGCTGTACCAGAAAGAGGTGTTGAAGACTCAGTACAAGCATTAAAACATCATGCTGAGCTGGAAAACAAATACAATAATTGAAAAAAAAATCTTTATAATGCATGCTACCTTTCATTTATTACAGCATTTTCAGCTGTTGCTCCTTAGGTTGCCTGGTGGCAGCAGGTATTGTGTGGGTAGCATTATATACTCTGAACCAGAGCATCACTGTTTCACAGACACTATAAATCACAGAATCACAAAATATCTCAGACATGAAGGGACTTAGAGTCATCTGGTCCAACCCATCTAGTCCATTACAAATGCTACATGCACAACACAATATATTAAAAAAAAAATGGACAAAAATAAAATATTCTTAGAAATCTATTCTAAGGAAGCACTAAAGCACAGTTCAGCATTATAGTTTAAATATATGAACAGTTGGGCAAGTTACTTAGGCATAATAATAATTGCAAATGAGGTAAATTTTACCTTAAAATAGGTAACCTGAACTTGACATTTTCATAATACACTGAGGTTATGTAGTGTCCAAATAAATGAATACATTTTTGGTGATGCCAGTACTCTTAAAAAGACACTGAAAAGTGTAGGTGATCAGTAACCTGTCTTGCTAACATACGGGAATTGAGAATTACTGATATATGTGTAACTGGGATTTTCCTTATTTATATTTATGTATTTCATGACAGTAAACCAAATTCAGACTCATGCAACTGTATGACCTCCATTAATTATCAGCACTCAGTATCTGGAAGCACTTTTTCATTCCAGTAAAGGTTACCAAAGGATTGAACTTAACTTAGATTAAGCTAAACTGTGTCATCTTTCTTACATGTCATTCGCTCAAAGCATGGGAGATCTGTCTTGGTTACAGTTATGTTAACAGCCTCATTTCTAACTCATTTGCTTGCAACTCATTGGGTAGTATCTACCTGGGTTTTGGGTAGGCCCACCCTTATGTATGAAAAATTTATGTTAAAAGGCACCAGTTTCTGTGTGTATTGTTTGCTTGGCCATGGGAGAAGTTTGTTCGTTTCTGTGTTTGTTTGTTTGTTTTTTTCCTAAACAGAGTGCAATAGTGTACTACAAAACCCATGAAGACAGATGTTGGAAATCTACTAGGTCAACATTAAACAATTAGCAATGCAAAGATTCACTTCATCCAGATGCTCAGAGGGGCTTAAGGCTTTTTGTACTGAGCATAACACCTATGTAAGACAAAAACTCATCACAGTTCATGGCCCAGGCTTGAGTTCTCAAACACTGATGAATTTAATTTTGTGAGTTTAATAAAAGTACAGTACCCGGAGAGACACTTCTCCCCAGCAAATAAGTTAAATATTAAATTCTCCTGGCTAGTGTTTACATAAGGTTACATTTCTAAAATGCAACTTTTTGTTAAAAAAAAAAAACCAACATTTCAAGCAGAGAAAAAAACTGCAGGGTGCTAAGTTAAATGCATTATGAAATCCACATTCTTCAGACAAGATCAGTCTGGCCAGCCACAAAGTGTAACTATTTCAACTTCTTTCACTTCCTTTAGTTGGTCTTACATACTACAGTAACAAAAAGATGCAAAACAGTGACATTTTTTGTTATTTTAAAGACAACCTTCACTAACTGTTAACAGCTCTCCTTCCCCATACTATGAATTCTTGCCAAATCAAAACACCCTTTCTGCTTGGGGTGCTTGTTCTGTCTGCTTTTCTCAGCCAGCAGGGTCTGATTCAGAGCCTCCCAAAGTGAATGGGATGTGTTGTGTAACCTCATGGGGCTGAAACTGGTTTACGAACCGCTTCTCTTTAATTTTACAATCTGGTCATCTCCCTTTGCTTATCTTCACTTCTGACTGCTCCATTCTGAAAACAACTGATGAGACAGAAAAAAGGAAGTGTAAATAGATAAGATTATTTCATGCATATTCACCGCTTTATTAACCCAGTTTATCAGGGACCCACAAATTAGGGCCCTCTGTATTTTTGTGGAGAATGGGACACAGGATGACACTAAAGACATGCGGGCTCTCTAGTTTTTGGTGTGCTCCTGCTTGATATTTACTGGGTTTATTCTGGTTTCACCCCATCTGCTCTTGCAATTAGATCATGCTTCCCAGCAGTATTCTATTATTTGCTTTCAACTTGTGTCTCCTCAGTGGTCATTTTTGGCTTGTCCATCAATTCTGACATCTGTTTCAGACTCATGTACAGATTCCTGTCTGGTCCTACATTGCCTTTAAAAAAAGACAACTTCTCTCTCCTACATACACACATATCAACGTTAATATATGCATAGGCAGGTAGAATACACAGAAGAAAGTATGTTATACAGACACACTTCTACCTCCAGGAATTGTGAAAATACACCATCAAAACCTTTTGGGGATGAATTTTCACAAGTATCTACTATGGAAGAATTTTACAGTTTTCTTCTTCACATGGATTTCTTGAAAACACAGTATTATGTAACTATATTGGGCCAAGTCAATGCCCCATGTGAAGTTTGCAGTAATCCACCAATAACAAAGAAAAAGAACAAACAAGAAATAAGAAATGATAATTCGGGGTAATCAAACCACAGATCCAAGGAGGAGAAAAGTAGAATCTAACTATTGTAATAGTTTGTCTATCTTCCACTTTTTAATAGCAAGTGTTGTAAAAAAAAAACAAAAACAAAAAACAAAAAACCATAAGCATACAGGAAAATATCCTATCAATAATGGTCCACCTGTCATTTTTCTTCTGTCCTCATCAGCTGCTTTACCTGCAAACAGCAGTATAATGTGATTTGTTCCATTCACGCAATGAAAACATTTTCACAGCAGGGTAGGACTGTGTTTTGTGTAAATTTTGCAGGTGTAAACCTTGAGTTATTAGCCTCTCTGTGCAGAGAATGTGTCTATATTTCTTTAGATGTACATTTATGCTGCTGTATTAATAACAAAAAACAAGCTGCAGCAACAGATATGTGAATACATTTTTGGGCATAGATGTAGTCCTGATGAAAACACACCAATGATGTTAGAAATTCTGCAATGCAGTATTTAAAAATAATAAACACCAATTTATATTTTAGTAGTAATGACAGGGCTTTAAAAATAACAGCCATTTGCACCCAAATTTACCTTGCCATAATTTTCTTTTTGTAAACAAATAATAACAAATATTTTTTCAAAACTTATGTCCCCTCCAAATATATTAAGCATCAACACCTCTGTTATTGCAATAAAAAAATAAGTACCATGTGCACTGACTAATGGAAAAGAGTATTTTCTAACACATAAAGAATTCCCATTCCTCTAACATGTTGCAGTACTGCACATTTAACAACTCAACATTTCACAGAAAACAACAGCATTACCTTCAGTCTAGAAAACGTGCTAAATATCTTGTTCCTAGAAGCTATTTGGCAAAGCAAATGGCAGCCTTAAAAAAAAGGAAAATAAATAAGCAGGCCCCCTAACTAAATTCCACCTGACTAAAATAATACGTCAAGTAAATGAGTTCTGGTTTACATTTAGTGCCTATTGTTGAACTACCGTTTGGTTTCCTGTTTCTCCCTGTTTCCAAACACCCTGCTTTAATTCAACAGAGCCAGTCATGCTCAGGGAAGTCATGCTCAGGAAATTATAAACTTGCCAGTAACTATATCAAAGAAGTAATTAGAGCAACAGCATCAGCTGTCCTGCTGTATGTGGATGCCATTCCCAATTGGTCTCCTTTAAATACATGAAGTTAAATAACATTTGGACTGTGTTACAGAGTTAAGATAAATACATAAGCAAAGCACTCTGTAGCTTTTACTGTTTGTCTAAATCTATCATCTGTCATCTGCCAGATGCCCAAGAGTGTCAAGATAAAAACGTCAAGCCTTGAGCTGCCAAAGAAGGCATGTGTCATTTATTACTCAAAAGCAAAGGTGCATTTACAAACCATACGGGCACAACTTGAGCAAAACTAAAAGCATTAGTGAACTCCATTAGAGGCCCAGACCAGGGTGGAACAGGTGTGCAGCACAGCATGCTCACTGCGTGTCCCATGATGCTAAAAGTGCACTACCTCTCCACCTAGGCACAGTGTCCTTCCTGCTCTTCTACTTGCCATGGCAGCTACGGACTCCCTCTTACAGCCTTCCACAGAAAGCTAAGACTTGCTGTTGACACAGTCATAGTCCAATTTTCTAGCACATTTTCTGGGCAAAGCCAGTGTATTTAACTGACAGCTGACCTTGAATGAATCAGACTCAGATCACTGACAAAAAAGGCCCCAAGGCAAAAACTGTAGCAGCACAACACAAGAATCTTAGGGCATGCTCACTTTTTTTTCTGCCAGTGCCTCCTTTTCCTTGGTCAGCAAGTTGCAAGCAGGGTAAGTGATAGGAAAGCTCTTTTTTTTTTTTTTTTTTTTCCAGTTCAACAGCCTGGAAGGGTTAGTCTGCCAAGAACCAGAGCCAGTATGAACATGTTCGTAATGACATCTGCAGAATTTCCTAACACTATTAAAAGAACAACTCCCGCTCCAAGCGCGTGTGTTTGTGTATGAGTGTGTCTATACACATGAACCACATCTTTATGAGTGAATGCCTTCACGGTACTGGCAGGAACCATTTTCAAGCAGAGGTCTTCACACATTCATCTAAGGACAACCAGCAGCCTCACGCACTAGTTGCTTCCAATTCACTTACATCTAATAAAAACAGTTTCCATCTACAAGGTGTAGCTTGAGCCAGTGGAGCAAGATTTATTCACAC